TTCTCTTTCTTTCATCCTTTCTTTCTCCCTATCCTATCCCCCCAGTCATTTCTGTCCCATCTGTAACAACTGAAAATAAAATAAAATACATAATTATAACAAAGATCAATCAAATGGACCAATATGATGATGATCCACTTGGTAAAGTAAATCCGCTAGGCATCTTTTTTGGCCTTCAGACAACAATTCTGATGGCTAAAGATCCAAACGGGACAGGCAAAAAAGAAATACTGTATGACTCTTCCATAAACTGTTTCCACTGAGAACCATTAAAGCAAATCCAAAATTTACACCTGAGTGTAGTAGTGTGGACCCGCATCCACATTATGGTTTTCAGTCGTTTTCTCAGAGTCCCATCCCAACATGTAGCTACACTCAACCATCAGTGAATCAAGACAGCTACTGTGGTTGACCCACGGATTTAAAGTGTCTTGCAAGGGGAGAGCAAAAAGAGGTTTGGCCCAGCCTTGAGGCCCTGCTGCAGGAACAGTGTAAAAATGCCACCACAAAGGAGCCAGCAAAGACAAAGAGCCTCCTCCTCTCTTCATTGTCTTTAGACTCTGATTCAGATAAGCAAGCACTGTGTAACAGGGCCCTGAGCTTCTACAGAGCAGAATCCACCATCAGCGAGACAGACTGCCACTGCATGCATGGTCCAGTCAAGCAGGGACCCACCCACAGCTGTCTGTCCTGGCCCACAAGTATTTGATTAGTCCTGCCACTTCTGTCCCATGTGAGAGACTGTTTTCACTTGAAGGTCACATAGCAACAAAAAAGAGAGCTGCTGAGCTCTGAAAATTTGGACAGGATAGTTTGTCAAAGTAACTGGCTGAAAGAAATGGCATGGAGTCAATTTTTTGCACTAAAATGTTGGACGATCAAACTGTTTTAGCCTCATGTAAAAATAATGTTGGCTAAGGTTACTCAGATTTACTCTGTTTTTTTTTAAAAATAGAAGTCATAGTTTTAAAGGTGAAGCTGGTCAAATAACCTTTTATGTTTATGCCTTATTTTTTAAGAAGAACAACTGTACTTTATGTTGAAATTTATTATTATTTAAAGACAATACCATTTTGAAAATGTACTCAAAGTAAATAGAACTTTATTTTTAAGTCTGCCCAGGTTTGGCCAGGGATATTATTTGTGTTTCTCTGTTTTGAATCGAAATGCACTTTAAA